AACAGAATATTACCATTGGAATTGCTTTGAGCATTATTCCATGAGCGGTGTTTTGCATTAAAATCACCAATAATGAAGAATTTAGACCTATGACGGGTAAGTTTCTGGAGGTCACCCTTGAGAAAATTCTTTTGCTGGCCTACGCATTGGAATGGCAAATAGGCAGCTATAAACGTAAGTTGTCCAAATTTTGTTTCAACAGAAACCCCCAAAGTTTCAAAAACTTTGGTTTCAAATGAAGAAAGAATTTTATGCTTGATTCGTCTATGAATAATGATGGCAACGCCACCACAGGGTCCATCAAGACGATCATTTCTATAAATCAAGTAGTTTGCGTCCTTCTTAACCTTATGGGCAGGTTTAAGGAACGTTTCAGTTATAACGGCAATATGCACGTTATGAACTCTTAAAAAGTTAAATAGCTCGTCTTCATTATCTTTAAGAGATCGAGCATTCCAATTTACAATATTTAATGCTTTAAAATCCATTACTGAATTTTAAAGTCATGACAATATTATTTGCAAATTTTACTCCAGTTTGAATAGCATCAAACATGGAGTTAGATTTAAGCATATCAGAAATCATGTCAATTAATGAATTCTGTAAAAATTCCATTTTGGGGGCAGTAATGCTTCCTAAGTCAAAATTGTCAAAATTTCCATTAGAACGTTGGTTAGTATTTTGATTTCTACCCGCTGCAATAGCAGCATAGGTAGCTCCATTAACTCGCTGAACATTGTTAGCAGCGAGGGGAGTAGGTACAGATGAAACATTTGAAGCAGGGGAGATATTTGTACCTACGGGTACGAATGTAGAATTTGTTCCTCGCTGACCGTTGTTAACAGCAGAGGAATTTGTACCTGGTCGGAAACGTGGAGCGTTTCCTACCTGACGGTTAGAACGAGATTGTAGGATCGCTTTGCGAGTCTTACATTCCCAAAAATTGGATTTGTGGTTTTCACCACAATTTGAACATTTAAATTTCTTAGGATCTTCCTTCACAGGACAGTCGTCCTTTGCGTGAGAGGAATCACCACAATTCATGCATTTAGCTGGCATGTAGCAATTTTTAGTTCCGTGACCCCATCCCTGGCACTTACGGCACTGGGTGAGGTTTTGGAAATTTCCTCCAGTCTTCCTGAAGTGTTCCCACTTCACTCGGACATGGAGCATAAGGCTAGCTTTTTCTAAGGCCTTAAGGTTGTTTAGTTCACTAGACTTGAAGTGAACTAAATAAAAATCATTAGAAATCCCGTTGCGCGAATCGCCAGGACGGGATTTCATTTTCATTTTGATTACTTGGAGTGGCACAACTCCAAGTAATTTTGCCAGTTCATCTTTGATCTGATCCAGGGATTCACCACTGGGCAGTCCTTTCATGACAACCTTGAACACACGTTCAGTTTTGGTGTCGTAAGTAAAAAATTTGTGCTTCTTCTCAGTAAGATACTTGAGAAGACATTTAAATCCGTCCAAGGTTTCAGCCAATACACGGCATTCACCCCGACGTCCAATTTGTAGTGAAAACTTAACTTTCACGAAATTCAAAAGTTCCATGCGAAGAGCATGGAAATCGGTAGTGGTTATCACAATAGGGGGAATCTTTTCCTTCTTGGCATTAAGCCGGGAAAGTTTACTAGAATTTTTCTTGGATGATGGATCATTCTCATCATCCGTGAGCAAATCAAATTGATTACTCAAATTAATTTCACCAGAAGGGGGGTCAAGAGTTTGCCCCTTTCTTTTGCGTTTAGGCGCCATGGCGGCAGTAAATTTTTATCCAAATCGACTTCCAAGCAGATTACTATAAGAATCTGAAGGATCGAAGAGGAATTTTCCAAATCGATATCCAAGAAGGATTACCTCGGGTAGGGTCCAAACAAGGATCGAAGAGGAATAAGAGTTGAACAAGGTAGAAAATTTTTACAGGTTGAGCACTGAAAAGTGCTGTTAAAATTTGTTGTAGCTTTAGGTAGTAGTAACACTTCCTTCAGCAAAAAGCAAATAGATCCGCACGGCAAGAGAGCACGATGCGGACTGATGTTATTTGAGAGTAAATCTTTCGTCACTACAGGCACAATCAACAAGGAGATTTACCAGAAAAAGTGCCTGCAGAAGCGATTGCCACAAAGAAATCCCTTTGTTCTGGCCCAATTTGGCATCATGCCATTATGTTAAAACTGTGATCGAGTGGTACGAAGCAAAACCGAAAATCTGCCAAATTATCCAGAGTTACGTCCAATCGAGAGATATTGGGCTCTGTTGAAGCGGAAGCTTTCTGGAAGTAAAAAAGGAATCAAAGATATCAAACACTTCTAACAAATTTGGACAAAGACGGCCACCACGGTATCTGAGAAGTCTGTACAAATCCTAATGGATGGACTTAAGCGCAAAGTTCGAAAATTTTATGCAAATACCAAATAACTTTGTTTTGATCTCGTGAATTTTTAAATCATATTCCATGAATCTCAAATAAACAACTGCAATCGAAATATGTATAATACGCAATTGGTGTTTTACTTAAGTTTTGATGTGCCCGGATTATTGTGGATACAGACCTTAGTTACTTTTGGTTGGAAAAAGTGACTTTTTAGTGACTGACTTGAAAATAGCGACCTAGCCACTAAAAAGTGATCCTGGTACCAGCCCTGAGATTTCAGATGCTGCCAACGAATGTTCCAGTGGATTTCGACGGATTTTTCTCAAGTTTTCGACGAAGGAGACCACAATATTTCGGTGAAGATTTTAGATGAATCCAACGAAATTTCCTGTGGATTTTGATGAAGTTTTCTCAAAACCATGGCGGAGAAGGTTCCGCATGATTTCGGAGGAGATTTTAGATGCTGCCATCGGAAGTTACAGTTGATTTAGGCGGAAGAGGTTCTGCATGATTCCAGTGGCGATTTTAGATGCTGCGATCGAAAGTTTCAATGGATTTCGATGCAGTTTGCTGACGTTGAGTGATGCCATCGCAAGTACTCAATTCTCGATAACGTTTTCAAAGGGACGTTTCTGCTTTTTGGATGTATCGTGTGTTTACACTTCCGCAAACTAACACCACCCCTTGTTGAAACATTACCCTTTCTGAACGTGGTGTTAGTTTGCGTGGGTGAGCTGGGAAAATAATGCTACCCATGCTAGGTGAGCTGAGCATATTCAAATCCTTCTGTACTATTTGGCAACACTTCTCAACAGTCAACAGACCCACCGTGAAAGAAAACCTCCTACTCGGATAGTTGAAGCGAATAAGGCCAACCGACCAAACCCGGTAACTCTATACCTACATACACTGTATGCTCTGAAAGCGCGCGCGGGCACTGATGGCACGAAGAAATTGATGGTGATGAGCGCTGGTAATGATATTTTAATGACAGCGTTGATAGCATGATTGCTGTCATCCTTCTTATCGTATTCTCTCCCTATAGAAGAACTCCAAAGGATCAACAGCAGTGCCAGGATTCAATACTGCCAGTGCCCCTCTCCGGGTAGGTGATTACCGTTGATGGTGATGATGATGAGTATCAATTTTCATCACCACCACCCATTTTTCTTTCGATCATCTATGTGGCTTTGGTCGGACCGTCCCGGACGTGGTAGTCAACGACACTGAACGATGATTATCGTCAATTCCAAAGCGCAGCCATAATCGACAGCAATCAACGCGAAACGGGCATTCATGATGAGAGAACATTATCACCGGCGTTGACGGTGATTGATTGCTTATTAACAGGAATCCAGGGCAGGACAATAGACATCCAGTCCGTTTCCATTCCTATCGGCGATCAATATAGTTTGACATTTTGGTAAAAGTTCACAGTTCGGCACCTCCCGTCGGATGCTGCGATCCTAGTTCGATGTCAAAATTTTACTGACTATCTGACACAAACCGCACTCGCTGTCACGTTACCAAGTGACGGACGGACCCGTTCGCCGACAAAGGTGCAAAAGTTCCGAGAACACAAATGTCACATGCTCATGGTACCAAGACCGAGGGACACCCAGTTTTCGGTTCCGTACTTCGCGCTGTGGTAGTACTTTTACCAAACTTTACACCAGGGTCGCATGCGTGCTTCTTCCTGGTCTGCGAAAAGAGTGACTTTCGCGCTCAAATCCACTTTTTCCCATGCAGCGAAATTCAGCGGGTAGACATATTTCAGGGGGCCTTCTGTGCTTCCGAAAATATCCGTAACACGCGAATCATCACAAAGCACTAGGGATGCAGGTCGTCCGGAGGAGGTCTTTAGTCGCGGTTTGGTTCACAGACTATATTGGCGCCCTTTTCGTCCACTGTGGTGCGACGACGACGGATACGGAGACTGTGAAAAAGAGGGTTGTCTTTTTTGAAATAGTGTTGTGACACAGCCGGCTGACAGCTACTGCCGACTACAATACACCTGATCAACAAGAATGGCCGTGATGCGCGGCCAGGAGCACATGTATCACAGAAGAAGCGTTGTGTACGGTGAACTGTGGAACCACAGTGTAATGGAAGTGGCGGCAAAGGCAAGTGTGGCCGGAAATACAAATTTCAAACATGACCATATTTCTAACGCAGATCTGGAGATCCGGCATCACTGAGTCCAGCCCGATTCGTATTTCAAGAAAACTTAATGCACTACATCTCCCTCGATTCCTGTCGTCCTATTCCCGGCAGCAAAAACTTATAGCACATTTCTCTCACACTTTTGTGTTGGGTAGGGTTAGGGTTTTCAGTGCGATTGTGCTGCTGCTTCGGACTAGAGAGGCCATCTCGGCCACTGCAGCAGACGACCGACATCGTCATCATGGTCGCTACCTAGGCAACATCGCACTCTTGTTCTCGAAACACAAAACGCAGCGCAGCAACAGCAGACCTGACAACGGTGTGCCTCGCGCGCTCAATCAAACAGTGTCAGGCAAGATACGACCGACCAGGAGCACATACTCGCCCACCGGTAGCATCAACTGTCATAATAATAATTGCCATCGTTCCATTGCGTGAATGTGGATAGCATACTTACTGGCTAATGTTGTCCATCATTTTGTAGTCACCGCCGCTGGTGTTGATCTTCGGTACGATTCCCGGCGAGAGGCGGTTCATCAGGCGACACAGAAGGATGCCGTCGCGCAGGCAGTCCTCGTACAGGAAGTCCGAGTGGAATTTCTCGCCCAACAGCGTTTCGATCCAGTGCTGTGCTTCGCGTTCCTGGTCCTTGTCGCGTTTACCAGCGACCTGTAGAGTAAATGAAGAAAGGAAATTTCGTGAGTTGAGTTATTTTCAGCGACCTCATGTTCAGAATAGCTATTTAGTTAACGTTGTTTAGAGGAATAAATTCAAGATTTTCGTAACGACATGTCAGACTTTAAACGCCTTTAACCTTAAAGTTTAACGTTGACTTCATCACAATTTGATATCATCACACAACTATTGGGAACAAATGGACATTCCTACATTCTCCTCGTGAATACTGTTACTGATGGTAGTTTGATTTAAGTCAAAGGTCTGATTTTCGAATTGCCATATTTTTCGCTGATATAACAAAACATGCAAGCTTCATTGCTACTGATTTTAACTTGAAATAATTACTATTATTTATCAAATATTTACATGGAAATTGCACTTCGTAACTTCGACTGCCATTTTCTCAATGCCTACTTGTTCCATATGGGGCTGATATGGGATTATAGACAGTATAGTGCTCATCATTATTATACAAAAATAATGCTCGTGCTCATAGTAGGTCATGCAAGTGTATCCGCGGCATAAATCACACACATTATGTGCTTGTAAATTGTTACTCGCCGGTCGTAATGCCAACATAAGATCGCTGCTATCTCCAATTTTCTACAATTAGGTAGAATATAAGTTACCGTACTTCCTTTATACAGAGACGATGTTTAATGAGAGACGCGTGGAGGGAATAAAAATAATTTTGACTAACTACCATTTTACCGAAATTTGGCGTTTACTTCGAATGGCTTTTAATTTGAGTGACTATTGTCTGCTTCGCCGTCACGGTAAAACAAATACTTTTTTGACCGTATCGGCAGTGATTATTTGAAAAATTCCACTGAAATGCACGACATCCTTCTGTAAAAATACCCCGAATACGTGATAAAGTTTCTTCTGATTTCCCAAAGACAGCGTCATCAGAGAAAAAGGGGTGTCAATTCTGTCGCTTTCCTCCCGGTAAAACTTTTTCTTCCTCATCGCTTTTCAAGCTTATTGCTTATCGCATATTAAAACCCTGCCAATTTAGAATCGGTACGCTTTCAATCGGATGTATCTCAAAATCTGTTTGGTTTAGAATTAAACGTTATTATAAGATAATGATATGTATTTAAGTTACAGAATACATCGTTCAAAGCCCCCACGGCAACCGTTCCACCAACCTAACGTTTTTAAATTGGCTCACTACTTGACTAGCCTATTCGTCCCAAGCAAATCGATTAACGTACCCCATTCTAGACAAAATTCTAGTACTACACAATGTTTGTTTTGATTCGCTATGAAATTTTGACAGATAAAATGAGGGGTTAGTGGATTTTCCTATGTTTCGAGGGGTGAATCGATTAGCACGTTTCTTCGGGACCTACTAGTTTTAGAGTTACCTCTATGGTTCGACATTCTTGTTTCTAAATCGACCAACATCTACGTCAGCATCAACGAAATAAACCGAAGGCATCGAAATGCTTAGCTGGACATCATAGCAGCGACGCCGGCGGCAACAACAGAGACGACCCTTGGACACAGCAGAAACGTTAAGCCAGCAGTTACCGGTTAGCTATAGGTTTAATTGAATATAAGTTTCTCGGCTGAAAATCTCCTAAATAGAGATAATAATAATAATAATAATAATAATAATAATGAATATAAGTTGAATAAACGCACTAATTTAGTGTTCAAACGTGCAAGTGGAACTAGGTATTTTTTTTAAACGCTATTCCGAAGACCTAGAATTTAACTGGCGCAGTCGGTAGGATTTAAGCAACAATCAATACGAAACTAACGATTTCAAATTGGCTCACTACTTGACTAGCCTATTGGTCCCAAGCAAATCGACTAACGTACCCCATTCTAGTATAAATTCCAGTACTACACTATGTTTGTTTTGATTCGCTATGAAAGTTTGACAGATAAAATGAGGGTTTACTGGATTTTCCTATGTTTCGAGGGGTGAATCGATAGCTTGGGACCGAAGATGGTACCAGAGCTGAGCCAAAAAGTTGAGCTCGTTTCTTCGGGACCTTCTGGTCTTAGAGTTACCTCTATGATTTAAGTGTCGAGTAGTGATAAAGTGCAGTATCCAACAACGGCGGTTTACCGTGAAGATAGTGCAGGACCAAAGATACCAGCGGACACAACTTGCGAACACAGGATCCCCGAAAGTACATCGGTTATTAAACGTAAGTCAAAAGTTTTACTACTATTAAGTGCAATTGTGTTATCAATTTACCAATATTTTATTTGTGTTAATTGCGAAATTCAAATTAGCGTTATAGTGTGAAAGTTAAACTTGCATGTTACTTGTAGTAAAGGGTGATACGGTCAAAATTTGGTCAAGGGAAAACGCGTGTAAATCGGTAAAATCGTTTATTTAAAAAATCAAATTAAATTTCTTTTTCAAGTTCAATTAGTATAAAATTCAGGAAAAATATTCAGTTAGGCTTCCGCTTTTCCAAATCCGAATTGCCGGGCCTTACGCTTGACCCCTGCCATCAGATTTTGTACAGCCACCTTGTCCACCTTCTTCGCCACAGAAAGCCAGTTTGCCTTGAACTGCTGCTCGCCCTTAGCAGTTTTTTTGGTCTTCTTTAGGTTCCGCTTGACAATAGCCCAGTATTTCTCAATTGGGCGGAGCTCTGGCGTGTTGGGAGGGTTCTTGTCCTTGGGAACCACCTGCACGTTGTTGGCGGCGTACCACTCCATGGCCTTTTTACCGTAATGGCAAGATGCCAAATCCGGCCAAAACAGTACGGAACAACCGTGTTTCTTCAGGAAAGGCAGCAGATGTTTATTCAAACACTCTTTCACGTAAATTTCTTGGTTGACAGTCCCGGAAGCTATGAAAATGCTGCTTTTCAAGCCACAGGTACAGATGGCTTGCCAAACCAGATATTTCTTTGCGAACTTTGACAGTTTCATGTGCTTGAAAACATCTGCTACCTTTCCCCTTCCTTTTGCCGTATAAAACTCCTGTCCCGGAAGCTGCTTGTAGTCGGTTTTGACGTAGGTTTCGTCGTCCATTACCACGCAGTCAAACTTCGTCAGCATCGTCGTGTACAGCCTCCGGGATCGCGCTTTGGCCGTCGTATTTTGTTTATCATCGCGATTTGGAGTCACTAACTTCTTGTAAGTCGATAGTCCGGCTCGTTTTTTGGCTCGATGCACGGTTGTAGACGATACACCCAGCTTATTTGCGGCATCTCGGAGAGAGAGGTTAGGGTTTCGCTTGAAACTACCGGCAACTCTCTTTGTCGTCTCAGCGGCTTCCGGTTTTCGATTTCCCCCCGATCCAGACTTCCTGGCTGTCGACAAACGTTCCCCAAACACTTTAATTACATTTGTAACGGTTGATTTGACAACTTTTAGCGATTTTGCCAACTTTGCGTGCGAGTAGCTCGGATTTTCGCGATGCGCGAGCAAAATTTTGATACGCTGCTCTTCTTGCTTGGACGGCATTTTGACAACTGAAGAGTGAATTCCAAAATCAAAATAGGAGCAACATTCTACACACACACACCTTCAAAATGAGGGGTGTTCAGGTTTTTTAAATGCAAAATTGAAAGAAATACGTCAAGTTGATATTGACCAAATTTTGACCGTATCACCCTTTAGAATCTTCTTTTGGAAGCTAATTCTAAACGCTTGCCCGTCGCTTCGCACCTCTACCTAAAATACACGGGCAGGACAGTAAATCAAAGTAGATATGTAGTTTATGGATCAAAATTAAAAAAATAGTGTCCTAAATATGAATAATATACGTCTTATTTATGGATCATGCCTATATTTTTAAGTGCGCAAACTTGATTTTCTATGGATCACTTTCTTTAGTTTAAGGTTCATTGTTGAATTTTTATGGATCAATTGCAATATGTTTATGGGTAATTCGTACAATTTCAATGCTCATTCTTTAGAAATTTAGCGGCACATTTTTAGAACTGTATTGCCAAATTTTACATAAAATATTGATAATATTGATATTTTTTATGGATCATCCTCACTTTTTTAGGGATTTTCTCCGATTTTTTATGGATTATTTTGATGATTTTATTGGAACGTTTTTCAATATTTTATGCGTCGTTTTATCAATTCTAAAGGTGCATACTTAGGGCTGCCCTTCCTTTTGATAGCAGCGATAGCCCTCGGAACCCGAGCTGACCTCAGACGACCTGTGGCCACATTCGCGGAGAGTTGTTCTTTCTTTTCTAGGTCTAAAACCCTTTTGACGGTCCACCGGGACACTCCCACGGCGATTGAAATGTCTTTTTCGACATTTGCGCGTGCGACAAATCACGAATACGCTGCCACTTCGTCATGGTGCAACTGTCAAACTAAGTAAGTCATTTTCTTTTGTACACAGCTTACTACGGTATGAGCTATAGGTTACGTGCATGCAAAGAAAACCAAGGCATTGTATGCACAGGTGAAACGGGAACCTTATTTGTACGATGGTGCAAACATTATCACGCATACGGTAGGAAAATGTCAAACCCGTTCTGACTAGTTTGGATTCAGTTCAGAAAAAGTTGAATCAATGCAGGAAAGCGTTTTATCAGCTAATGTGTCCTCACTCCAGAAAATGCGGAACCAATTCTTTAAAGCTTGAGTTCGGGATATGTTTGGATCACTTCAGGAGAGCTTTGACAACTTTAAAAAGGATTGAATAACATAACAGAAAAGTTAAGACTCAGCTAGAAAAATGTTGATGACTTATTCGAAAGTTTGAACATACTTCAAAAAGTTCAGACTCAGTTTTTAATCTACTTTAAAAAGTGTCACCTCGACTAGGAATTTGCTGGTTTCTGATTTGGTCTAAGTTCTAAAAATATTAAACCAATTTTGAAAAGATTGGATTTATCTAGGAAATTGTCGAATCACTGTAGAAAAGAATTGAATCATTTAGTAGCATTGCAGCAGGTTTGCAAGTTAAGAAATTTAGATCAAATGCGAAAATCGAGCGACTACGGTGAGCTGGACCATTGTAAAAATGTCGGATAACGACTCAATGA